ATGATTTAGTTAACTCAATTAGCAATAGTGGTAAACATGGCAGTAAGACTTGAAGTCTTTGTGATTCTGCAATTGTTAAGGCCCATTTAACATGAAGTGTTTTCTATGTTAAGGGTAATGTGCAACTGGGTACTGGTTAGGCAAAACCCAGAGGTCAATACTGGGTCCAATAGTGCAAAGGAAGTGCAGAGCCCTGCACCTGGGAAGGAACAACCCCATGCACCAGTATATGCTGGGTGCTTACCAGCTGGAAAGCAGCTTTGCAAAAAAAGACCTGGGGGTCCTGGTGGACACCAAGTTGAACATAAGCCAGCAATGTGCCCTTGCTGCAGAGAAGGTGAACGGTGTCCTGGGCTGCACTAGGAGGAGTGTTCCCTGCAGGTCGAGGAAGGTGATCCTTCCCCTCTACTCCACTCTCGTAAGACCCCACCTGGAGTACTGTGTTCAGCTCTGGGGCCCCCAGCATAAGAAAGACATGGACCTGCTCGAGTGGGTCCAGAGGAGGGCCACGAAGATGATCGGGGGCTGGAGCACCTCCCCTATGAAGACAGGCTGAGGGAGTTAGGGTTGTTTAGCCTAGAGAAGAGAAGGCTCTGGGGAGACCTTAGAGCAGCCTTCCAGTACTTAAAGGGGGCCTACAGGAAAGATGGGGAGGGACCCTTTATCACGGAGTGTAGTGATGGGATGAGGGATAATGGTTTTAAACTGAAAGAGGGTAGATTTAGATTCAATATTAGGAAGAAATTCTTTACTGTCGAGGGCAAGAGAGGTGATGCTTCCCCTTGATTCAGCACTGGTGAGGCCACACCTGGAGTGCTGTATCCAGTTCTGGGCTCCCCAGTATAACAGAGACATAGAGCTACTGGAGAGAGTCCAGCAAAGGGCCACTAAGATGACTGGAGCCATCTCCTATGAGAAAAGTCTGAGACTGTTCAGCCTGGAGAAGAAAAGGCTCAGGGGGATCTCGTCAATGTATACAAATACCTGAGGGGAGGGTGCAAAGAGGATGGAGCCAGACTTTTTTCAGTGACAAGTGACAAGACAAAAGGCAAAGGGCACAAACTGAAACACAGGAGGTTCCCTCTGAAAATCAGGAAACACTTTTTCACTGTGAGGGTGAGCACCGGCACAGGTTTCCTGGAGCCATTGTGAAGTCTCCATCCCTGGAGATATTCAAAAGCCATCTGGATAAAAGCCTCTTCTTCATTGCTATGCCCTGCTTCACAACCCTTTTCTGAGATTTGGACCACTTTTTAAATAAGACTTTAGGTTTCTAACACTGGCTTATGGGGACCTACTGACACTAATTTCAATCCCCAAAGCCCTGTTGAGTGACTGTCCACACCTGGAGACACCTTAACTTACTGGCTGCTTCCCTTTCAAACCAGACCTTCCCTTGGCTGACTGCATGCCCAGAGCTGCCTGGCAGCTGGGTCCACATCCTAGACAACACAACAGCAAAAACCCAGAAGAACTCTGCTGAGAAGACTGGCTTTGTCATTGACCACTGGGAAGTCAAAGATTTTTAGTCCCCAAAGTCAGGTGATCTAGCCTAGCACATTCAGCTAGACTCTCCATATAGCCCCTGACACATCCTGAGGGCACTTTGTCCCAGCCTGACAGCACTGCATAAGACAGGCTTGCTACATACCACTGAGAGCAGGGCCCCACAGAAAACCAAGAGCAGCTATTTAATACTTAGCCTGCTGCTGCCAGAGGATGCTGCCTTTACAGTGCAGATGTTACAGCTTCCCTGGGAATGGGAGACCAGAACTCCCTCCCCAGCTTGAGGGCAGAAAACCCCCAGCTCTTCACACCCTGGGAGAAGCTTCAGCCATCTTCAGCTCTTCTTGCGTGGCCTTCTTAACCCCGGGCTCTGAGCTGCCAAGATCTTTCCGTCCCCTCCTCAGTCAGGACCGATAGGCACTAGGCTGCTGGACACCACATGGCACCCCAACACCCCAGGGACTCAGCTGCAAGAGCCCCGCAGAGCAATGCCTGGCTGGCCCCACACTGGGGAACTCTGGGTGCCACTGAAGGGAGGTGCCCTTGCCAGCACCTCTTGGTGCCTTCTCCCAGAGAGGCAAGACTTCAGATGCACCCCTGTGCTCACCATTTCCCACTGGCTGACTCTGGGCTTCTCCTGCACAGGGTGCAGGGTGTTTCCATCAGCCTGCCAATGCCCTGTGCATGGAGCCCAGCGGTGAGCTCTGGGCTTGGGGTCCAACAAAGCGGGCACTGCAATGCTGCAGACCTCCTTGGAATGGGCTTTACAAGACGTTGCCTGATGCTGGATATTACATCAGATCCATGCACCATTTTTCTAACTTTGCCCACATGTTATCCACTGATCTCTTTTAATAACCAAATGCCAATGACCAGGGGAAGAATGTGTTTAAATCTGACAGGAGCTCACCTGACAGTGCCCTCTTCCTAAAACTCTCTCCAGGACTACCGGCAAATCCCCCTTACCCCCCACTCCATCAGCATTGTACAGGCTTGCCTGCCACCCCCAATGTTCTGGTAAAAGTATCACTGTGGTTTTTTGAACTGTGCAAATGTGTAAGTGTGCAAGATATTTGTGATGAAATGGAAGTGCTGCGCTGAGGATGTATCGGGTGCAGAGCATCTGGGACTGCATACTGAGGTGATGTGTTTGGGTGTATGTCCAATTATTTGTATAGATATGGCGACTAGGTAGGAGAAAAAACTGGCAGTGTCGTTCCTAGATCAGAGTTATCTTTCCTAGGGTTATAGGCATGGGAACACCTGGATAAGCTAAGAAGTTGCCAGCAAAAGAAGGGAGCATCTCTCGCTCGCCGGCACTGACCTGCAGATCAGAAGTCTCAGCAGGTATAATCCCTCCCATAGAATAAGGTGGTGCACAGGGTGTTTGGCTGACCATCCTGCTGTGCCTGTAACCCTCATGGACTGTTAGACGTCTGCACTTCCGCTTTCAGGATTTTACCGTCACAACTGCCAAAAGCTTTTAATAATGCTAATTTATCTTTTAACATCCTGTTTTACCTATTGTACAGCTGGGATATCTGCAGAACAGACATACCAAGCAATCCACCCTGGGTCATACAGTGAGTCGGTGGGAAAGCCAGCAATAGAATCCATAAGTCCTGCATCCAAGTTCTTTAAGTGCCTTGACTAGTCCAGATTCCCTCCTTAACACCCTTGTCAGATTGTTTATAGGAGATGTATTCATATAGTCAGTAAGACATCAAAATTTTCTAATTATATCTAGTCATGTCAAATGACAATTATGCCCTTAGTTCAGTTTGCCAGACAATGCTTTACCAAAGAAGGTTTGCCAAAAATTTTTTGACCGAAGAAAGAGTAGGCATCTGTAGCATCTGCAGACTAGATCATATAAAATGTCCCTGTGACAAGTCTGCCCTGTCTCCACGGAAAACTTCAAGGTAAGTGTACACAGCCCGCAGGCTTGCAGGAAGAGGATGGTGCCCTTATGTGCCACAACATTCCTGCAGCCTCCAAAGCTCATTTCCAGGAGGGGACTCAATTTCTCAGTTCAGGTTTTAAATCTGCTTTCAAGGCACCTGCACATTTTCACTCTGGATTTCTGTGCAGCAGCAAGTAGGGAGTTGCCATTTCTGTTTTACACTACTGACCAGCTGCCAGCCTGCAAGCCACCCATCTGGTGTCACGAGAGGTAAGAACCTGATTTATTAATTCTTAGAGGGCAGATAAAAATCCTTTTGGGTGAGATTTCTGGAAGGGTCACTGTTTCACCCTATATTCAAACCTAGCATGATTACAGTAGAAGGTGGTGGGGTGCCCAAGGTTTTCAACTGGCTGCGTTTGAAGTCTCTGACCACTGATGGCAGACCAGAAAATCCCCGGGGGAAATTCTTCACTTCTGTTTAACTGAGCTAACAGGGATCAAGGTGTGCTGGCTTCCCATCTTTGCTATGGCAGCAGTAGAACCAAACCAAGATGAGCACAGCAGGAAAAAGTGCAAAATTCTGCATTTTACCTGAGAATGTATGAATTAATAAATCATCTGAGCATACAGACCTTCTAACCACCTTTGTAAAATGCGAGAGCTCTCTTAGATACCCATTTTCTTACTCCAAACAAGAAAATATTTATTACCTAATCAATAAAGAGGGAATAAATTTTACTAATGTAGATAGAGAATTTTCAAGTGCAGTTGCTAAATTTAGCTACCTACATGTTTAATAAAGCATCTGAAGAAATACTCTTATTTTTTAAAAGTTTTGAGAACTCACGTCTTCCCAGATTTTTTTCAGTAAGTATTTATTTGGGATTTTAATACAGGCTTGGCAATTCCAATTTCAATGCTTGAATTTTATTTCAGGTCAGAACTTTGGGGCTGAAATTATTTAGATATTGTACTGAAGAATGACAAATGCATACAACAAATTAAATTATGGCAGAATATTAAAAGGTCACAAAGCCTGCCCTTTTCTTTCAGTTGACAACTTCATTAGCGAAATTCATTGATTTCCCACTGCCTTTCTGTTACCATTGTATTTAATAGATAAATGTCTAACAAGTTCAATGTTTTCCAAGACGGTAGGTGGCCTAAACTACAGCTTTTCTGAAATGTTACTTCACCGTTCATCCTTTTAGCAAAATGTCCTAACTGTATTTCCATTCCTAATAGTGATGTCTTAGTGAAAGTTGCTCAGCAAATTCACTCTTACCTTACAGACACAGTATTTGTAAAGCACCAAACCCCAGTTTTGGTGGGTCATTAAAAGTTGCTCTCTTAAATGTTTGAAGACCTAGACTACATCAATGAAAAGCTCTTATTTTCTAAGTTAACCTAAAAATTAAGTCACTAGTTAGCTCATGTTAGATGTTCCAAATACTCAGAGTATGAAGAGAAACCAAGGCACAGAATATAAATTTTTTCCCAATCTTACAGAATAGATGTAAATAATCAGTGCCGTATTGTTCCTCCCCATTAGATTCCTCTGCTGACGTACCTTCAGTGAAGTGCAGACATGGCTTCTGCAGACTCTGAGATGGCTGTCTTTGGGGAGGCGGCTCCTTATCTCCGAAAGTCAGAGAAGGAAAGAATTGCGGCTCAGAACAAGCCTTTCGATGCCAAGTCATCCGTCTTTGTGGCTCATCCTAAAGAATCCTTTGTGAAAGGGACAATCCAGAGCAGGGAATCAGGGAAGGTCACTGTCAAAACTGAAGCTGGAGAGGTGAGTGAAAAATGAGGCTGAAGGACACCATTTGATTCCCACTTTGAGCTTTTAGCTGACATACATGGATCTTTTGTTTCCTTGGCAGACCCTGACCGTGAAGGATGATCAAATCTTCTCCATGAACCCTCCCAAATACGATAAAATTGAGGACATGGCCATGATGACCCACCTCCACGAACCTGCTGTGCTGTACAACCTCAAAGAGCGTTATGCAGCCTGGATGATCTACGTAAGTACCAGCAGCAGTCTTCCTTTGGGCGGCTCAGAGGAACTGCTCTACCAGGCTAAGTGGAAGCCAACATGCTGTCTCCCTTCCTCGCAGACCTACTCGGGTCTCTTCTGTGTCACTGTCAACCCCTACAAGTGGCTGCCAGTATACAACCCGGAGGTGGTGTTGGCCTACCGAGGCAAGAAGCGCCAGGAGGCCCCTCCACACATCTTCTCCATCTCTGACAATGCCTATCAGTTCATGCTGACTGGTGAGTGCTTGAACTCCCTCACAGCAATCTAAACCAAAAATCCCCACTGATCTCACTGGAGCATGTGACAAACAGCTAAAAACACCACAGAGATGTTTGACTGATAACTTGATTGAGTTATCCAGGAATTAATTTCAAGTGAAACAGACCCAGAAGCATGCATGGTCTCAACACTCTGTATTATTTGCATTTATTGTATGAAATTCTACACTCTCCCACTGCAGAAATACTACCTGACTTTGCTACTTTTTTTAACTGATAGGAAAGAAAAAGTTATTATTCCATATAATCCACTATTTTGAACACAGGTAGGCAGTTTGATTAGATTTCTTGGTGTGAATTGTGTGAAGGGCAAGTGGATGCACAACTTGTCTCAGGACCACATGCCTCTGACAGCTTTATGCATCCATTTGGGCTTATACTTACTGCTATTAGGACCTAGAAGGGAATTAGGTACTGTTGGACTTTCTGAAGCAGCCCTAACTTACGTTTACAGCTTCACTTTTCATTCAGCTCAGTGTTACCCAGGTCAACTGCTAAAACTATCTTTCATTCTGCCTCTTTCACAGATCGTGAGAACCAGTCAATCCTGATCACGTATGTACACCCCCTGCTTGGGTCTCTGTGGGGCTGCCCAGTGCCAGGGGGACCTCCTGCCTGACCATACGCTCTCTGCCTCTCTCTTTGGTTTGACAGCGGAGAATCCGGTGCAGGGAAGACTGTGAACACAAAGCGTTTCATCCAGTACTTTGCAACAATTGCAGCAAGGGGGGAGAAGAAGAAGGAGGAGCAGTCTGGCAAAATGCAGGTAAATTAATAGATGCTGGCGTGAATCAATTCTTTCCTCTGTTCCTGACATGATTTTTGAAAAGGATAACCAGCAATAATTATTGTCCTGTAGGGAACGCTTGAGGATCAAATCATCAGTGCCAACCCACTGCTGGAGGCCTTTGGAAATGCCAAGACTGTGAGGAATGACAACTCCTCACGCTTTGTAAGTTGTTGCTTTAAACAAAATCCCTCCTCATTATAACAGTAGTGATGGGCTAGTGGTACTCTCACATAAGGAGATGGCAATGAAATGCATCCAGGCTGAAATGCTGCTGCTTCTCCTTAACAGGGCAAATTCATCAGAATCCACTTTGGAGCCACAGGCAAACTGGCTTCTGCTGACATTGAAACTTGTAAGAGACTCCCCTGGCCTGATCACATTCCTTCCCAAATTTCTACCTCTACGTGTGGTCTTGTGCCTGATTCTTTCTACCCTCCTTGCCAGATCTGCTGGAGAAATCAAGAGTCACTTTCCAGCTCAAGGCAGAAAGAAGCTACCACATATTTTATCAGGTCACCTCCAACAAGAAGCCAGAGCTAATTGGTAGGAGGCATCACTGAGGTTTTTGGAGGAAGATCACTGAGCAACATTTAACTACATTACAAAAACAATGAAAATTAACCTATGAACCCATTTGTTTTCAGAAATGCTCCTCATCACCACTAACCCATATGACTATCCTTTTGTGAGTCAAGGTGAGATCACTGTTCCCAGCATTGATGATAAGGAGGAGCTAATGGCTACAGATGTAAGTAACTTACAAAACAGGTCAACAGCCAAAAGTCATACATCACACAACGTGCAAATATTTCACTTTGCTGATTTTCAATTTGCACTTACCAGAGTGCCATCGACATCCTGGGCTTCACTGCTGATGAAAAGACTGCCATCTACAAGCTCACAGGGGCTGTCATGCACTATGGAAACTTGAAGTTCAAGCAGAAACCGAGAGAGGAGCAGGCAGAGCCAGACGGCACAGAAGGTATTATCAAACTCAATAATTAACCCTTCTGTAAGCCGCTGTGAATGTGGAAGACAACAAAAGTTGTTCTTTGTTGGACTTTAGGATCCCAAGGAAAACAGTAAGCCACAAAAAACCTGTCCCTTGTCTTCTTCTCAGTACATCAAGTTCCCTCATCTCAGGATTTTTGTATTTTATGCTATGAGCAATTAATAGTTTAAACTGTCCTTTGTACACTTCCAGGAAGTCAGGAGTGATGGATGTCCTTCCTGTAACATTATTAACAAAGTCATACCTTTGTTGGAATATGGCTTGCAATTGTGAAACAGCCAAGTGGTTCAGCTTTAACAGGATGGGGGACCATGTTCCCATTCACCCTCACCTGTCTGACACTCAGGGCACTCTGGTGTGAGAGGTGTATTTGATTCCTCTCCGTTGTTGGCGCAGGACCTACAACCCACATCTCCAGCTCTCTGAGCAATGGCTCCTCCTGCTAAAGGACAAGGCAGAAGGTGGGAAGTACCATAGGTAGAAGGATAAAACCCAGTGAGTTTTACTGAACATCAGAAACCAAAGCTCAGAAAGGGTTGTAGACCCTGAATCTGAAAGAGAACAGAGATATCCTCTCTGTGTTCCACCCTAAATATTGGATGTTTTTGATCATCTCAGTGTAGATCAGTGCCTGACTGTTGTCACTGCAGCTCCTGAGCTACGCATGTACTACGAATATTCAAACTGGCAAGCTGCAGCTTTCAATTTTGTGCCAGAAGATTTTTGAAAACATCATTCCTTTCTACATGCTTCAGTGAAGATTTTCAAACATAAATTCTTTTAGAAAAGCTCACTATACGTAATGAAGATTTTGATGTTACCAAGATTCCCTCTATGAGAGTATATCGAAAGATTTCAAGAACAGAAATCTGAACCCTGCAGCCTTTAGAGTATATCCCAGGATTCAAAGTCTATGTGACACTAAATTCTTCCTTTTTTCTCTATCTTTTTAGTTGCTGATAAGGCTGCATACCTTATGGGTCTGAATTCAGCTGACATGCTCAAGGCACTGTGCTACCCCCGAGTCAAGGTTGGGAATGAATATGTGACCAAGGGTCAAACTGCGCAGCAAGTAAGAAGCACGTGGTAACCTGGAGCCATGTTTTGGATTAAGATCCTTTTGATTCTCCTCTGCTCTGTAGAGTAACTCCAGACATTTATTTTTCTTATAGGTGCACAATGCTGTAGGTGCTCTTGCAAAAGCTGTCTATGAGAGGATGTTCTTGTGGATGGTTGTTCGTATCAACCAACAGCTGGATACAAAGCAGCCCAGACAGTACTTCATCGGTGTCCTGGACATTGCTGGCTTTGAGATCTTTGATGTAAGTAATAAAGATTTGGGAAAGAGCTATTTGGAAGTGACAAATGGATGTTATGATCATTCTGAGACATATTTTTAAAGAATATCATCACATAATTATTTGCAGCTATTTGCCTTTTTTTGCCATGAAGTAAAAAATGACCTTTCAAAGGCCTTATTTCAAGATGTGCAAACTCAGAAGTACAGAATGGTCCAATCAGAAAAATTCCTTGGTTTAAATGATCAAGGACAAGACAGTATAAAGATATGTATATCATGATAGGCCTAAGCTTGTTTTTTTTCTGCCTGTAATTTGGTCTCAGATTATACAGGAAATATATTCTATCTTCACATTTTTATCAATGAAAAAAAATTCCTGTGGACAATTAGTTTGATGCATTTCTCTGTTTCATTACGTAGACGTAAAGCAGACTGGAGAAATGCACAAACTTGACAATGAAGCCAAGATAACTGCATTCCTTTTTTTTAAAGGATAAGGTTTTGCAATTATTGTTGCATCTTGCAGATATGGGTCTTTCTTATTTTATTTCCAGTTCAACAGCTTTGAGCAGCTGTGCATCAACCAATGAGAAACTGCAACAGTTCTTCAATCACCACATGTTCGTGCTGGAGCAGGAGGAGTACAAGAAAGAAGGAATTGAATTGACATTCATTGACTTTGGGATGGACCTGGCTGCCTGCATTGAGCTCATTGAGAAGGTATCCTTCTTGTTCAAATGCATTTACATGCATGGAAATTCTATAATTACTTGGTCTCATTTTTCAAGGGGATCTTCTATGTTCATGTCCAAATATTCAGGTTTTGTTATTCAAAATACCTTGTCCCGTAGTTTATTTTTTTTGGCAAGTGAGACATGAAGGAGATTTCACACAGCTTTGTGGCAGCAAGTCTATACTGATCTCTTTTCAAGTGCCGAAAGATTGTTAAACTCCCAATAAGAGTGTTCTTCCAAAACAGCTAGAGTCGATTTCCAGGTCAGCATGTCCTCCTCACCTTTCAGCTCTAACAGACTTGTGCTTGTACAGCAGAATAGCTATATCTTTATAAAATTAACATAGAAGATGGACATACATAACTGTCAGCACACAGTTGCACTTACATATGCATCCTTTGACTGACAATGAGAAGAGAGTCGCACTGCACATGAGATGGAAAGTTCAGTGGCTGGCAGGACGATAAGTAGTTAGAATCACAGAATCACAGAACTGCTGAGGTTTGAAGGCAGCTCTGGAGATCTCTTAGTCCAATCCCCTTGGTCAAGGCAGGGTCAGCTAAAGCAGGTTGCTCAGGACCATGTCCAGTTGGATTTTGGATATCTCTAAGGGTGGAGACTCCACGGATACTCTGGGGAACCTGTTCCAACTTTTGACCACCCTCACAGTAAAGAAACTTTTTTCTTCTGTTTAAATGGAATTTCGTGTATTTCAATTCATGCCTGTTCCATCTTGTCCTGCCACTGGACACCACTGAGAAGCCTCTAGCTCTGTCTTCTTCACCCCCTTCTCATTAGGTATTTATACACATTGATAAGATCCCCCAAAACCTTCTCTTTTCCAGGCTGAACAGTCCCATGTCTCTCAGCTTCTCCTTGTATGTCAGATGTTCCAGTCATTTAAATATCTTCGTGGCCTGGCACTGGGCTCACTGTACTATGTCCATGTTTCTCTGGTACTGGGGAGCCAAGAACTGGACACAGCACTCCAGATGTTTCTCAGCAGAGCTGAGTAGAGAGGAAGGATCACCTCCCTTGAGCTGCTGGCAACACTCTTAATGCAGCCCAGGATGAGTTGGCTGCCTTTGCAGCGAGGGTGTATTGTTGGCTCATGTTCAATTCATCTGACATCTGTGTGTGCTTTGAGTCCCCCTGGATAAGAAGGTAGTCCTCTGATTTTATAAAGAACATTCTCAACACAAACTAAATGAATTTCCGCTAATCTTCATGATTCATTTGGTGTTACAAAATTTAAGTATCAATATGTTTAATCTCACTTTCTAGCAGAAAATGTAGTTGAATAATAACCTTTTGTGATGTGTATCTCAGTCTATGTTCCACTACTCTGCCTAGGTGAAGGTCATTATTGTCCTGAAAACTAAATTAAAATCTGTCTCCTTTGTGCATTTCTTCCAGCCCATGGGCATCTTCTCCATCCTGGAAGAGGAGTGCATGTTCCCCAAGGCAACTGACACCTCTTTCAAGAACAAGCTCTACGACCAACATCTGGGCAAGTCCAGCAACTTTCAGAAGCCCAAGCCTACCAAAGGGAAGACTGAGGCCCACTTCTCCCTGATACACTATGCTGGCACAGTAGACTACAACATCACTGGCTGGCTTGAGAAGAACAAAGACCCCCTGAATGAAACTGTCATTGGGTTGTACCAGAAATCATCACTGAAAACATTGGCCTTACTCTTTGCCAACTATGGTGGAGCAGAAGCAGGTTGGTTCTATGAATCCCATATTTTCACTGATGTACAGCTTACAAAAAGGAATCATAAAAGGCAAAATTAAAAATCTAAAACCTGTTTTATTTATTTTCAATTTTGCAGAGGCTAGTGCTGGCAAGAAAGGTGGCAAGAAGAAGGGTTCTTCCTTCCAGACTGTCTCAGCTCTTTTCCGGGTACAGTAGAGAGTTCACTATTTCTTCCTAAGATGAGGAGTAAACCCACAATTTAAAATGGCTAGTCTTTTTTTGGCTTAGTTGTGTTAAATGACCCTGAAGTTCTTGGGCCATATCTTGCCAGGAATAAACCCACTGTAATCTATTTATGCTCCGTTCCACTGAATGCACAACTTTTCTTTTTTTCCACTTGTCCCAGGATGATGTTTCCAGATGGAAGAATGTCATACAGAAAACTTCTAAAATATACCTAAAATATACGAGATTTCCTTCAGATGCCCACCTCTGACTTCAGAACATTTTCTTGCCCTTTAACAACATTCTGCCCATGGGTCTGGAGGATGATCTGTTTGCTCCGTTTGCTCTAGTTTTTCTCCATGATTCAGGGATCAATCTCTTACAGTTGAAATACCATCACTGCTTGGGTTATGGATTTTTAAGATGTCAGATGCTCGACAGTTCTTTGTCATAACCAAGTCTTGCTGCCTGGCTACACTTCCGCCAGGTGAAATATCTAGTCTCTCCTGAGGTTATTTATTACCATATTCATCCTTCATTTAGGATTCCCTTCTTGATATAGCTTAATTTCTTCTACAGATCTGCTGTCATATGATTCTTGATCACCTGACAGCCTCCAGCCAGTGCTCCAAAACAGGACATGGGCATGTGTGTATATGCCCAAGAAAAATAATCATAGCTGTAGTGCCTAGGCCTTGCAAATGGGAGATTATTGCCAGCATGTATCATTCAAAAATAATGCAATAAGCCTATGTTTAAAGGTCATAAGACTTTAAGAGGTAATTTTATAGGAGAAATATTATTTGCTGCATTTGGGTTGCATTTCTGTTACGTTTTCAAACTTTCTTCCACTATCCCTCTTGTTTAGACATGTTAGTGTTCAGACATCTTAATGTTTTGGCAGCTTAATTTGCATACTCTGAGATGTCCTCTGGAGGCACCTGCTTGCCTCCACTAATTAGAGGCAATAATTATTTATAAATAAGTATACAGATATTAATTACAAAACAAGGCTGGGATTCATCTCACTTTATTCTCATCTTACCTTACAAGATAAACGTGTAATGTAGACATATAAAACTCAGCTTGTCATTTTCGTTCCTTTTGCTTTCAGTGGGGAAAACACTCAGATTCTATATAGTGTACTATATATGACCCATCTTAAATGCCTACTGTAGTATGCTTCAAACTGCCTCATAGAGGTTCCAGTTTAGCTATCTGAGTACATCCAATGGAAGATGGTTATAATTTCTAATGAAGGCATTCCATTAGAGTCAGTGAAATGTATTAAAATTGTATGTTTAAGAGTATGATATTTCCTACAGATTAATCAGAAGAACTTTATACATTAAGTTAATACAGCAAAGATCTGTGGAAAGTCAGAAAAACTGGTGCAGGGGGCTTCAGTTCAGGATTCTGCAAGCTAATTTTTGTCTGATATCTCATTATCTCATTTCAGAGGGCTTGATGTTTATAGTGGAAATTACATTTGTTAATATAAACTTTTTTGTTAATGACTCTCCCAGGAGAATTTAAACAAGCTGATGACCAATCTGCGAAGCACCCACCCCCATTTTGTACGCTGCATCATCCCAAATGAAACAAAAACACCTGGTAAGAGACTCACATATAGAAGGTTTTCAGTATGGTGCAGCTCTTCCCCACTGTATTACAGAATGTAGCATGTATTTGTGCTCTGACTTGCTAGGTGCCATGGAGCATGAACTGGTGCTTCACCAGCTGCGGTGTAACGGCGTGCTGGAAGGGATCAGAATTTGCAGGAAAGGATTTCCCAACAGAGTCCTGTATGCAGATTTTAAACAGAGGTCAGACTTCTTCCCCTTACTGGATCATTTTGTCCATCTTGAGTAGCTTGTGAAATTTAAGTTTCACCTCTGGTGACTAAAACCTTTTCCAATGTTTATGTTTAGCAACATTGTTACGTTCTCAACAGTTCTTAGAGTCTTTCTTGCAGTGTACCAGCCAATTGATCTCAACAACAGACCTCTTTGTATTCATAGAATCATAGAATTATTTAGGTTGGAAAAGACCCTTAAGATCATCGATTCCAATGCAAGTCCTTCCATTTTCTCCCCCAGATACAAAGTATTAAATGCAAGTGCTATCCCAGAGGGACAGTTCATTGACAGCAAGAAGGCTTGTGAGAAACTTCTTGGATCAATTGATATAGACCACACTCAATACAAATTTGGTCACACCAAGGTAAAAGAACTGCTTGTTTCAAGTACTATGTGGTTTTGGTTTGCACGGCTTGAGAATGATACTCCAGATAGTCTGTGAAATGATCAAATAGTGTATTTAAAAGAAATCAACTAAGCGCTTATTGACTTAACACTTGAATAAAACTGAAATTCATTGTCATAGGATGCTTTAATTAAGGGTTAATTAAGAGTTCCTAATTTAAGACAAAATTGCAGAATAAAAGAATCAAGGGTTAATAAAAACAAAGGCAAAATGTCTGGCTATTATAGTTCCTCAACTGCAGGTAACTGGAAGCTTGGAGATATAAAAGAGGGTCTATCGCTACATACATTCTTTGTGCTTATGCTCTTTCTCTTAACTTCCCATATTATCTGCCATGGGGGACAGAGTACCGGACTACACTGAACAACAAGCACATACACTGCACCTATTTTCATGTTCTTACCCAAGGTGTTCTTCAAAGCTGGGCTGATAGGCCTCTTGGAAGAGATGAGAGATGAGAAGCTGGCACAGCTCATCACCCGCACACAGGCTAGGTGCAGGGGCTTCCTGATGAGAGTGGAGTACCAAAGAATGGTGGAGAGGAGGTAGACATTTCTTCAAATTAGGTTCACTATATTTGGCTTATTGTGTCATCATGGTCTAAACATTTAATATTAATTTGACTTACCTTTCAGAGAGTCCATTTTCTGCATCCAGTACAACATTCGTGCATTCATGAATGTCAAACACTGGCCCTGGATGAAGCTGTTCTTCAAGATCAAGCCCTTGCTGAGGAGTGCAGAATCTGAAAAAGAGATGGCCAACATGAAACAAGAGTTTGAGAAAACCAAGGAAGAGCTTGCAAAGTCCGAGGCAAAGAGGAAGGAGCTGGAGGAGAAAATGGTGAAACTGGTGCAGGAGAAAAATGACCTGCAGCTCCAAGTGCAGGCTGTGAGTACTACCAGTGTGCCTCATCCCAACTGAACTGTGACTATCAGGCTGATATTTAAAACTACGTTTTCAAAAGACACATAGAAACTACAGTTTAATTCAATTCAATTATATTTCATTAAGCAGTGCTCTTAAAAATATAACTAGCTTCAATAAGGACTGTCAGGAAGCTGTAGTCAAGATATTACATGGGTGAGACTTTTCTATGGTGTATGCTGAGGTCTCTATCAGTTAAACTGCATCAGAGCAACCAAGAAACTTTACTTTTATTAGTATAATGTTTGTTCTTCTAGTAATTTTTTCCTCTCTTTCCAAAACTGAGTATGCCTATCCTTATACACACATGATTAGGAATTCTTAGGACAAGTTAAGAGGACATTTCTTTCCTCTCTTTATTCTCCAATTAAACAAGACAACTTGTTTCTTTCTGGTGTGGGTGGTGGCTTAGCTGTTACAAACATTACTATATTGTAATACTGAACTAACTGAGAGGAAAGAGAATTTAATATTCTCACTCGCCCGCCTAAATCACAGAAACATTACATAAAATTATGTGGTACATCTGCAGTATTATAATGTTGTGGTTTCTGAATTAAATCATTCACAGAATAGAAAAGACTGTATCGTCGAAGTAATACTATGCAATGTACGTGACATATCGGAAAATTTACATGCCCAATTTTTAAAGAATCTTGAACTCTAAAAAGATAAAAAAATCCACTCACCACTAAAATTATCATTTTTCTTTCATATTATTTCTACTAGACTGAAACTTGAGACAAAATATAACAAATACCACAGGACATCTGTTGTAAAAAAAGCCTAGAGGCAAATTTTCCAGCAACTCCTTTTCTTCTTAGCTGATGAGGGTCTCACAGAGAAAAGCCAAAGCTGCTAGCTGCTGAGAAATTTTGGGCTGTGGTGATGAAAATCTAAATCAGAAACTGTTGCTCCAAAAAGACAGTAGTGTGAAAAAAGAGAAATACAGGAATGATGTGAGCATAACTGTGACTTTGGTATTTATACGTATCTTAGCATATGTTTATCACTCAGCACTTCATAAATGTGGGAGATATACCTATGATTAAACCGAAATTTATGTATTTTGTTCCAATGTTTGATATTATAGGATAATATTGTATTCTATACCTTGTACAAATATGTAAATACTCAGGCCTTCATGTAGATTAAAAATAATTTTATTTAGTTTTAGATTTCAAAACTGACTGTTTCATTCTGTTGGAACATAAACCAAATTTTTAACTACAAAATTGCTATCTGGGACTCTAAACTATGAAGGTAAGCATCTCAATATTACATCAAAAAACATATCCGTAAAAACAGTATTTTCCCACCAGGAAGCTGATGCTTTGGCTGATGCTGAGGAAAGGTGTGACCAGCTCATCAAAACCAAAATCCAGCTGGAAGCTAAAGTTAAAGAGGTAACTGAAAGGGCCGAGGATGAGGAAGAAATTAATGCTGAGCTGACAGCCAAGAAGAGGAAACTGGAGGATGAATGCTCAGAGCTAAAGAAAGATATTGATGACCTCGAGTTAACACTGGCCAAGGTTGAGAAGGAAAAACATGCCACCGAAAACAAGGTATGAGGCAGAAGGCGTCACTTTCACAGAAAAGACCTCTGTTTTATTATACAGTATAAAGTTTTAAACAACATTTTTTTATCTGCACTTGCTCCCTTCTTC